CTTCGCCCCGCCCCAGCTTGCTCCCTCCCCTCGCCTCCGGGGCCTCGGCACGACCTCCCCGCAGCCGCCCGCCCTGTCCCGCCGACCGCGCTTCCCCGCTGCCCAAGCCCCGCCTCTCCAGGGCGGAAAGGCCTCGCCCCCAGGCCGAGTCCCGCTCCCCGCCGCGCCTCTCGGAGCAGGCCACGCCTCTACTTCAGCTTCCGGCTGGAGTGTCTCGGAAGTTGCTGGGGGAGCACCGGAAGTGCACTTGCGCGCGCGTGGTGGCCTAGAAGGACTTTGTTGCCGTGGTGATGGGGATAGCGTGTGGGATGGAGTCTCCTTCCGGAAAGCTGGGGAAGCCCCAGGGCCTGGTCAGGGCCTGGGTCGTGGGTGTGTGCGGCCTGTGTGCTGGGGAAGGTCGGCTGGGGTGGCCTCCGCGTGGCAGGTGTGAGGACGCGGCGCGCGGTGGGGGGACTGCACACCTCCGCGCTAGGAATCTGGGGAGGGAGGGAGGGGCGGTTAAAGAGCAGGTCTCAAGTTGTAAGTTTAATAATTTCAAATCCACGTTTATGACAAGTGAATTTGTTTTAATACTTCTGATTATGACAGACAAAATGTTGCTTTGACATAAGAACCAAAGTAAGTCAGGCTACATCTGTTTTTCCCAGTCAATGAAAGAGAAACCTTATTGAAGCCCCTGGGCCAAGAGGTTTGCGCAGAGGCCGCGTTTGGGCCTTATTGGACCTTCTTCTTAGGGCGTAGGTTGTTAGTGTGGCCACACTTCTGGCAGTGGACAGCACGGGGATGCAGGCGGGTATAACACTTGCGGCAGATCCTGTCGCAGTTGTACTTCTTGGCAAGCTGGTGGAGGGAGGGCTCAGTGATGCCGCCCTGCAGAAGAAGCACCAAGTGCAGAGTGGACTCTTGTTGTTTTAGTCTGAGAGAGTGCAGCTGTCTTCCAGCTGTTTGCCCGCAAAAATCAGACGCTGCTGGTCAGGTGGGATGCCCTCCTTGTCTTGGATTTTAGCTTTGACGTTTTCAGTGGTGTCACTGGGCTCGACCTCGAGTGCGATGGTCTTGCCGCAATGTCAGGCTCTTCACAAAGATCTGCATCTCTGCGTTTGCTGGGCAGGCTGCTCGGCTGCGCTGTTGAAGAGAAAGAGCACCTGTTCTTGATAAGCAACAGCCCAGCTGTTGAGTGGCCCCTGTGGGGGCTCATCAATAACATATGGAGACGCCACCATGGCAAGGGACATTTAGACTGCAAATACTGAGAGTTTGTAAGAACTAAAGAGTTTCGGTTTGGGTGATGCGACTCTAACCTAAAATCTCTCTGAAGACCCTTGGGGCATTCCCTCGTGTCCGGGCATTCCACCTCGACAGTGGTTTATAATAAATCACAGGGAACGATGGCAGCCTGCCTAGCATCACTGCAACGTTGCAGAATGCGAGATCAGTATATAAAAATTTATTTCTATACACTAGTTATGAATAACCTGAGAATAATTAAAATAATTCCATCTAGATAACATCAAAAATAACAAAATACTTAGGAATAAATTTAACAAAAGTGCAAGATGTGGGCACTGGATACTAAGGCATAGATATTAAAGATCAAAATAAATGAAATTATAGCAGTACTCCCTAAACTGGTGTACAGATTCAACACAATCTCTACCAAAATCCCAGCTGCCTTTTGTGCAGAAATTGACAAATCCAAAAGTTCACATGGAATGCAAGGGACCCAGAAAAGTCAAACCAATCTTGACCAAAATCGGAGGACTCACTTCCTGATATCAAGAGTCGCTACAAAGCTACATTAATCAAGACAGTGATACTGACATAAGACTACACATACAGATCAATGGAATGGAACTGACACCACAGAAATAAATCCTTAGATAGCCAGTTGATTTTCAACAAGGGTGCCAAGGCAATTTGATGGGGAAATCATCATCTTTCCAATAAATGGTGTAAGACAACTGGATAGCCACATACAAAAGAATAAAGTTGGATGCCTACTTAACAACATACACAAAAATTAACTCAAAATGATCATATACCTAATGTGAGAATTAAAAGTATAAAACTCCTAGAAGAAAACAAACATTTGTAACCTTAGAATGCTTTCTTTGATATGACACCAAAAGCACAAACAACAACATAAATTGGACTTACTATTTAAAACTTTTGTGCTGCAAATACCAAAGGGAAAAGTCAATCCACACAACGGGAGGAAATATTTTCATATTATATATCTGGTGAGGGTAGAGTTGGTTCCACAACTCTGTGAAGAACCACTATACCTTACATGAGTGAATCTTATGAGAGTGGTATGCCCACAAGGCTTTTTAACAGACATCCGAAGATGGACAGTGGTGACGGTTGCAAATGATGTGAATGTAATTGACGCCACCAAATGCTTAAACCTGGTTAAAATGAAAACATATGTATTTTACCACAATAGAGAATGTGAAACAATGTTTCAGTAAATTATTTGGGGGCGTTTGAGTCTTGTGCATTCGCTTGGAGTACTTTTCTGTTAACAAACTGCTTTTCACAAGCAAAGCAAACGTTTCGATGTCAGGAAAACATGACTGCCAAAATGACTAATTCGGGGCCTTTGTGCGGGCCTGAGTGGGACAAGCCGTGCCTTACAGGTGCCCTCCACTGCCCACCCCGCCTACGGGGCTAGCGGCGTCCTCTGTTCTGCGTTGCCCACTCCCCGGTCACGGTGGCACCGCGGTGAAGCCGGTCTCCAACGCCCTGGCGGGACAGGTAACCGGTCTGATACGGCGCGGCCCCCAGGTCCGCGGGGCAGCCCTCTCACAGCCGACTGGAAGCGACCACCGGGGGCGACCGCGGGACCAGCACAGACTCCCGACCCCGGGCGAGCGCGCGCACGGAGGACGCACGCACGGCGGGGGCGCGCACGCACACGTCGGCGCGCGTCCACGTCCGGGGGACGGCTGCGCGGGAATCCCTGTGTCGCCGGAGGTGCGTGCGGACACGGCGCGGAGCGGGGCCAGGTGGGGGCGGGGTCCTGGGCAGGGAGCGGGACCGCGGGGAGCCAGGTCCTGGGCGGATGTCCCGGGCGGGGGGCAGGCCCCGGTTGGGGGGGTCTGTGCGAGCCCCCGTCGGCCCCGCGTGCTGTGACCGAGCCGGGAAGAAGCTCGTCCACCGAGTCCCTCTCCCGCAGAGGCCGTTTCAGTCGCCAGGATGTCGTACATGCTCCCGCACTTGCACAACGGCTGGCAGGTGGACCAGGCCATCCTTTCGGAGGAAGACCGAGTGGTCGTCATCCGCTTTGGACACGACTGGGACCCCACGTGCATGAAAATGGACGAGGTTCTGTACAGTATAGCCGAAAAGGTAACGCGGCCCCTCCGCTTCACGTTAGGTCCCCTCGGCAGCTCGGTGTTCAATTTCTTTTGTTTTGCCAGTTGGCAGGAAAATGTAAAAGTGTTAAAAACAGTCGCCTAGCAAAGGGAAGACGCGGGCTTGGTACCCGGACAGATTCTTAGCCTGTGACGTGAAGGTGTGCTCCCTGGAATTGAATAGCGTATGTCTTTTTCTGGGAGGAGTTTCCATACATCTTCACATTTTAAAGAGGTTCACGATCTCTCTCCCTAAGTTAATGATTCCAAGTGATAGGGCGTTTTTCAGAATTGACATCTGTAGTGCCTTGAACAAAACGCATTTGCAGACTGGCAAGAGCTTGGAGCTTGCTTTAAATAGCTCAGTTTAAAAAGATTGCCCCTTTTAGGGGGTACTATTGTTATTTGTATTTTTAAAGCAGAACATTTGTTATTTGCATAGTAAATCCGGTTACTTTTCTTTTCATTGTCTTTTTTTTTATCTCATCATGCATCACGCTCTTTGTAAGTTACTTGGTTTATACCTTACAGTGATTTAAATGCAGAGAACAGTAGGAGAAAATATAATTGTGGTTTGTTAGAGCTAGCTTTCCTAATTTTAATATTACAGTGGATCGTCTGTGGCACTTGCTAGCCGTTAACAAGGGTGCAAGTTGTAAGACGCAATTGTATAATTCTTTTTTTATAATTTCCTCATGGCAATTTTAAGTCAACTTTGATTTGTTTTTTTTTTGCAATTGTAGCAAGAGCAAAAAGCAAATATGTTAGTGTGTTAACGAAATGATTAACATTCTATAAACGATTTGAGAGGTCATTCATTTAATAGAAAGTAAAAGTGGACGTATTGAAACCGTCTTTCATGGGACTAGGCGATGCTAATGTAGGCTGGGTTAGAATAACACCTTTGAGTGAATAGTAGCAGATGTAAGGCTATATTATATCTAGGAAGGGAAAACCTGTCTGACTTGCCACTGCTAATTTTTAGCGTGTCCACTCAGTAGGGAGGTGCGTGAGGCGGGGGTGGTGCATTGTGAGCGTCAGGCCGTTTTCCTGTGTAGCCATCACAAGTACCACTTGGAACACTTACCGTAGTGCACTGCAGGATTCTGATTCTGTCGGTCTGCTTCGAGGTCCAGAAATGGCATGTCTCAGAAGCTCCCCTGGGAACTGATGTGATCTTCAGATACCCCTCAACAGAGGTCAGGGTCAGGGTCAGGGTCAGGGTAGGAGTGCTGCAGTTATCAGCCACCCCGCTCCTTCCTCTTGGACACCAAGACGGAAGTACCTAGGGAACCAGGAGAGCCAGCTGTTCTCTCACCAAGGTCCTCCCAGTCAGGTCAGAGGTCACGAGTGAGGTGGGCCAGGGGGTCACTTATATGTCGCTTAAGCTGTGGAGGTCGTGCAGTCACTGCTGAATTTAGTGAAGACTCTGCTAAGCACTTTTCTCATAGATGCATCGTTAGCGTGTTGCCTTTGAAATAACTGAGGTTGTATGCCCTGGGTTCTACCTTGCAAGTGGTGGCTTACACACCAGGCGAAGTCCAGATCTTGCTGCCTTCAGTATGAGGCTAGGATGGCTGCAGACCTGAGGGTTGGTTGGCTCCTCATGTCTGAGTAAAACTCAGCATGATGCCTTTGGCTGGGAGGCAGATTCTCTGTATCAGTCAGGGTTAGGAATTAACCAGAGTTGTTCTCTAATCTCTCTGTGTCTGTCACAGACCAAATCGCTGTGCCGGTGGTGAGCACACTTGGCGTTGGCCCTGTTGATAAGGACCATTTAATTGGACTCACTTTGAATGTATATATGTGTATTGATGTTTTCTTTATTTTTAAGTATAGGAATGAAATATGAGTTTATAATTCTGGAAGCTCTTTTTGGGGAAGCTCAACAAGAATTTTTTGAAATCTAAGGTTTTAGTAAAAGAACAATTAAACTCTATTTAAAAATCTCCCTCTGCAGGAATAACAGATAAAGGGGGATCTTCCTCACCCTGTTACAAGCCCCTTTCAGTCCCCCAGCTGTTTTACCTGGAGTGAAAGTTCCAGTGTTGAGGCCAGACCTGATGGCACTGTCTTCTGGAAGGTGGAGTGGTGTCCGGATGCTCTGACAGTGCCCGCCCCTCCTTATGCTGGACTGGTTCTGAGCTGTTCTGAAACAGATAGCTTATGGGTTTTACAGATGTCTGCCGGCTGCTGGAGCCGCCGTAACAAATGACGCTTCCCGCTGCACAGTCGTTGTGAGTAGCCAGCTGCGAAGAGACCATCTCGCGCATCTGCAAGCTGCCGTTTTGTCACGGTGACTCACTGTTACCTGAATCCCACAATGAGTAAGAATAAATGGGACGTTTACTTTGTGTGTGTTAAAAAGCCCATTCAAACAGAGTCTAAACTACGCAGAACTGAAAGGATGTCGAGTCATGATTGTACGTTCTGATAAAATTGTATGTTTGTGGAACTCTGCGGGAATGGCTGGGGGCCATTCTTAAGTTCACATGAAGTTGGTTGAACCAGCAGAAGCTGAGGCTTTGTCAGTGCGGGGTCAGATAGGAAGCTGCAGAATGCCCCGTCTGGGCTCGCTGTGCACGTGTGCCTCTGGGAGTAAGAGCCTCGCGGCCAGCAGCGAGCTACGCGGGCGGTGGTCGCAGGTACAGACCGAGCTAGATTCTGCCACCTGCTACCCGTGTGGTCTTAAATGACTTGTCTCTTCACCTCGTTTTACTCATCTGTAGGACAGGGGTGCCAGTGCCTAACTCGCAGGGCAGTTCTGAGGATCCAGTTCCCGCAAAGCCTTCTGGGACACTTCCTGTCACGGAGCAAGTAGTGTATTCAGTAATATTAGCCGCCATTATTCTCTGCAAGAGTTGTTCTGAGTAGAACTAATCGGCATATGGTAGTTGTCGAAAATAAAGTTGTGCAGTTTTTTGGGTGCATTTGAAATGAATTGCCTAAAAACGTACTAATTAGCCCTTCAAATGTGCACAGTGCCAACCGACAGTCCAGAACATTTTCTTCTGCTTCTTGGGCGGTCCCTGGCTGGCAGAGGGGCCGCCGGGCAGGTCATCACTGACTTGCTTGTGGGATGTAGGCAACAGGGTTGGAAAGGATATTCACTGCTGTAGGCGATCGAAACAATACATGTTAAAAACAACTTGATAATAGAAAGGACATTTGTACGTATGGTTCTCGGTTTACAAAAATACTGTTTAACAACCAGTTAAAATTACTGCAAAAATAGTAGGCAAAATGTATTTTAAATGTGATCGACTTTTGCAAATAAGTCTTAAATACCGTTTAAAAAGATGACTCCCATGGGTAAATGGGCAAGGAACTGAAAAAGGATATTCCAGGGGTTAAGTAAACTTCAGAGAAATACATTGAAACACTGCGCTGTCGTTTTTCCCATGCAGTAAAGATGAAAAGGTGTTTAACCGTCTGGCGGTGGTGACGGTCACCTGCCTTTGGGAAGCAGCCTTCCAGGCAGGCGGAGCTTCTCAGCGGCAGAGCGTCACGCTCCCAGATCATCGGTGTAACTGATCACACGGTCCGAAACAGCCACAGTGTCCAGTGACATGGCCCACGGTGCTGACCGCGTAGTCGCAGCGCCCAGGAGGAGCCTGTCCCCTCGCCTGACCCTCACCCCAGCCCTCTCTCTGCACTTGGAAATTGGGATTTAAACTGCACACGTCCACCCTGCTGAGTGGGGTATTATTTGGACATTGAAAATGACTTTTTAAGAGCTTGGTCTAATAACGTGGGGTCCGTGGGGTCAGCTGGAAGGCCCTTTAGGGTTCCACTGGGCTGGCAGTCAGGTAGGTGTGTGAGTGTGTTCATACTATAACGTTAATGTCTTTTTAAATCGTAATAACTTCTACTCTGTGGGAAGTAGGAAGAGAAGATGCTTTTCTTAAGCAAGTGCCCCTGCGTGCTGACTTCAGATGTGGGCAGCCCTTAGAGACCAGCAAGGTCTCTTGGTCCCTTTTGCTGGAAACTGTTGTGCAGAGAGACGGGGCGGTGGGGGGGTGGGGGGTGGGGCTGCTTTGCCTAGCCCCCTGCACCTGAGTGGCTGTGGTGGCCTTGACATTGGCACTCAGAAGCCTCTCGTTTGACCAGGAGAGAGGGAAGTGGTTGCTGGGCAGACGCTGCGACACCGAGGTCCAGCAGGACCCCCCTTCCTTGCCTGGCTCCCGCAGGGGGTGTCCACACTCGATGCTTTCCATGGCCAGACTGCCACATGGTCTCGGCCCCACGCTGCCTGGCACCACCGCTGATGACCCCAGCGGTGGCTCTCAGGCCTCGCCTGATCTGACCCCTGTGGTGCTCGGCCCAGCTCCTGCCTCGGCCTCGAGCTGAGCCTTTGCCGGTGTGCCTCCCCGGCCGTCTCTTTCCTGCCCTCAGCCACAGCGTGGCATGGTCACTGGTGGGTGCAGATGGCAGAGGTGTCCAGCCAGCTCCATGCCAGTCACTGCCTGTGAGGGCCCTTCTGTGTTGCTGCTTGGTTTTTTCTGGTCGGTGTGTACGAAATCCAGCCCCTCAGCCACCCCTTCCTTTAAGGAAGGAACAGGCTTCTGGAGCCTGACAGGCCCAGCCTGCACCTCAGGCTCGTCTCCCACCTCCGAGCCCTCGTCAGCCGCTGCCCCCACACTGGTCGCCTTCCCTCTGTGCCTCTCTTGACACATGCGCTTCTCTCAGCCCGAGAAGTGTCCCCCCCACCTCCCCACAGCCCCTCGCCCCCTCCGGGCAGACTGATTCTTTCAGCGGTGGGGCTGCAGCCAGACCTGCTGGCGTCAGCTGTGGCACTTGCTCCCCCTGTGGCTTGGAGTCACCCCATCTGAGAGCCTCAGTTTCATCACACACAGAACAGCAGCGTCTCTGTTTAGTTAGGGCGTCGAAAGAGCTAGAACGCATGAGAAGTGCCCTGCACAGAGCGGATCCTCAGATGCTCATGACACCTGTCTCTGGTGACATGGGCACGTTCACTTCTTCCTATTGGGACACCGTCAGGCTGGGCCAGGGGCCACCCGGCTCCCGTGTGGCCTTGTCTGACAACTGGCTGCACTGCATGTGAGTCCATTCCGAGTGTCGGGGGTTAGGGCGTCAGTGGACCCTTGGGGCTGGAGGACACTGTTTAACTCACAACGTGTAAATTCAATAAGCTTTCTGGAAGGCATCGAGACAGTATGAGGAGCCTTTAAAATGTCATGTTCTATGTTCTAGAAATTCTGTTTTAGGAATTTATTTTTAGGAAATAATGAAGTATACACAAATTTAAGGGTAAGAATGTTCACAGGTGAATGATAGATGTTAATGAAAATGAATTATGTTCATTAAAATCAGAAAGAAAATAACAGAAGAATGGTAAAATAATGGCATAGCCATTTAACGAACTGTTATGTAACCATGAAATTGTTTTTGGACAGCATGTAATTTATATAAGAGAATGCTCGTAAGTAAAGCAGGATATAGAATATTGTAGCATAATCACTGTGATCACATTTTGTTAAAACAGTATAAACAGATTTTTTTATATATATACCAGAAAAAATGGGAAAGATATACTAAAAATACATTCATAGCAGTTAACTCTGTTGCAATTGACGGTGTTTTGATTTTTAGTTTTCTGAGTTTTCTTAATCTTCTCTGATGAACTTGCAATTAAAGAAAAAAAATTAAAGAAAATTTGTTACATACGATATTATTTGGGGTACTAGTCTGTTAGTAGAAGAGGTGGGGAATGTATGGCTGAATTCTAAAGGCATGTTTAAGGCAGCTGTTTAAAGCATGTCGTTAAGTAGTCGTCAGAGTTCAAGTTCATGCAGATTGTTACTGGATCCGCATGAGTAACATATCTGTGGACGTTTTCTGTAACCTGCTACATTTGTGTAGCCTGCTGTTCTGAAAAATGTTAGTGAGGCGCAAACAGCCGGTTTTTAGGACCCAGAGCCTCTTATTCCGTGTGCGAACTGTAATGGGAGGTGCTGGAGAGCAGGTTTACAAGCTGTTCTCTTACACACAGAGTGTTGTTTTTGTTTGTTAATTTGTTTTTACAGAATTAAACATTGATTTGCTATTTTAGGTTTTTTTTCAATCTTCTTTACTTTTAGGTTAAAAATTTTGCAGTTATTTATCTTGTGGATATTACAGAAGTACCTGACTTCAACAAAATGTATGAGTTATACGATCCGTGTACTGTCATGTTTTTCTTCAGGTATGTCCTCTTAAAGTTGTTATTTAAATTGAAATTATTGGCCTAGAAATTTAATGTGATCAAGATATCTTTAGATTGTTTACTTGGAAGGAAGTCAGTTTGTAGCGATAGCACATACAGTTTGTTTCACCAGACTGTGTGATCTTTTCAATAATTTTCAAAGTAACAATCCCAGTTTCAGTGTTTACTCAGTAACAAATTACCCTTTTGAAATAACTTTTTGGAACCGTAGACGTAGACAAAGTGTAGTTAAACGGAAGACTTTCTCATTGACATTTAAGTGACGTCTAAATGTAATCTGTTGATGAAAGTGACTGTTTTTAAGTAACTCACTTTAAAAATATGTCAGCGACTCTGTTTAGCGTCCTTTTCTGATACCCGAGAGGAAAACTTGAACTAAATTTCTTTGCTATTTATATATACAAGATGATTTTATTAGTGAAAACACCCTGTTGTGGACTCTAGTCAGTCGGTGTTGGCATGAAAAACAGAATTTCCCTCGTGTCTCTAGGTTAATTTGTATCCATGACTTATGGGCTTTGCAGCGAAGGGAAATGTGGGAACGGATTCTGGCCACGTACACAGGGCCTATGCGGGTGGCAGGTACGTTCGATGGTACTTATGTAATAAAGTTAGGTGACATCATGAGTAAAACATAATTCAGTTGTAGAGCTTCAGTTTGGAAGGAAATCATTTGACCTTGTACTTGTCACATCTGTTTCTGTTGCTGCAAACGCTGGTGAATAGCAGGATCAGAGCCTCTGTCGGAAAGGAAGGTCCGGGAGGCCCATGTGGGGGGCGTGTGTCAGCTTTGTATTCCGTGTGACACGCCAGCACGCGCTGAGTGCTGAGGACGGCACCACTCCCCAGCCGGACAGTTCCATGGGCTCTCGGGGTCTCAGGCCAGAGCCACAGGCGGGCCGAGCAGGGCAGCCGGTCAGGGTGGGGGTGATCCCCAGGACTCACTCAGGTTGTCGGCTGAATGCAGGGCCTCGCGGTCATGGGCCTGAGGCCTGCTGTCGCTGGGGCTCCTCTCTGCTCCTCAAGGTCCCCCTCCCCGTCCTGGAAGACCACCGGCAGGCTGAGTTCTTGTCACAGTCTCCCCAGTGTCCTTCCTGCTCTGCTTTGAGGGCCTGCGAGATTGGATCAGAGTCGCCCAGATGACCCGGGCTTGCCCCCTTACTTTAACGTCAGTCATTTGGTGACCGCAGGGACATCTGCCAATCTCTGTGAGGTTTAACAGAGCTGGTCACAGCCTTGTCTCATCCCTTCTCACTCCCTGAGTTTAGGGCAGGAAATCCTGGGGTTCTTTTGGGGTTCTGCCTCCCACAGTCTGCCCTTCACCTCCCGTCTGCAGAATCGTTCTGGGCAACCCACAAAACCCAGCTTCGTTCTGGGCAACCCACAAAACCTCTGCTGTGGCCCAGCTGTCCTGGCGTGCAGCGGGGCGTAGGAGGGCCAGAGGGCGTGGGGGTCTGGTCAGGGCTGAGATCACCGCCCTGGCCAGCCCCTCGCTGCCCTCGGGCAGGCTCCGCCCAGGTTTTCCCACCTTTTTCATGAAAGGCTTTTGCAGCTGGGTCCCTTCTCAGCCTGCTCCCTGCCAGCAGCATTCGGAGCCCCATCAGCGCATTTCATTGTGTCCTCTGTCCCTCTCAGCCCGAGGGCTGTGATTCTGCCCTGGTTGCCGGGGATGCCTCTGCTCGGCCATGGCTCCCTAGAGGACACTCCCGAGGCAGCTCCCCAGCCGTGACGAGTGGTCGGACCTGCAGATCTTCGGCAGGTCGCAGTGACGGACGCGTGGCCTCTTCTTTTCCTGTGCCCCGAGTTCAGCCATGTCCAGATTTCAGCACCCTTTGCCATCTGGAGAGGCTGAGAATTTATTTTTTTTCTGTCACCAGTTTGTAAACTGTCCTGTCTTTTCTCATTTCGCTGTAAGTGGGAAGAAGAAACCAGATAGCGCCTTCCAGACCTGGCTTGATGTTTCTCCAGCTTAACGTCCAAGTTTATCACTTACGACGTGTGCTTCCCACAAGCTGCAGGACATGGTGCCGCTGACAGTGTGCACTGCAGTGAGGACCTCTCTCCTCCGTGACTGCGATGCACTCTGTTTTCTCCCGGGCCCTCGCCAGAGGCGTTTCTGCTGCCAGGCTAGTCAAGGAGTGCAGGCCTTTTCCACCATGCTCCTCAAAACCCCAACTCCTTCAGGGGCGTCGCGAGGGCTTTCTCAGACCCTGCCTGCCCCTGAGGGGCAGAGGGCTGTGCTGGGGAGGGAGCTGCAGAAGGAAGTCGGGGCAGTGTGTTGGTGTCGTGGGCCTGGTGCCGCTCCCATGAGAGGTGGCGATCCGCCTCGTCCTGTCTCTGCCGCCCGGAATCCTGAGCCAAGCAGCGTCAGCGCTGGAGTTCACGCGTCCACCAGACACGTGTCTTGACTTCCACCAGGCCTTGTGGCCTGGTGCTGGGACGTCATCAGATAAGACAGGGTTCGCACTGTCACAGACCTTCACCTGATGGCCACTGCCACATGAGAGCAGTGCTCACAGAGACAGTCACCGGCCCAGACGGGGCGTGGGGAGGGCTCGCGGAGGCGGGGTGCCGTGCAGTGAGGCTCGGGTGAGCGTTGCACTCAGGGGCAAGTGTGGGGACCTGCAGGACTGAGCTGTGGTGGGGGCAGCGTGAGGGCCCAGGCTGTCCCGGAGGCTCAGGTTTGCTGCAGAAGAGACGTCAGGTTTGCCTGTGGGCCGCTCGCTCTGGTTGAAAGGAGGCCAAACAGGCTCCAGGACGCAGCGCCCCCTGGGGCTGTGGGCCAGTGTGGTGTGCGACCTTGCAGAAGTGACAGGTTCAGTGGACGAAAATCTGCAGCCCGCCAGGAAGGGTCATGGGCAGGCACAGCTAGGGCCACAGCTCTGCTTTATGGAGCACGCGCGTGAGAAGTAGCCTTTTGAGAGACACGTTTGTAAAGAATCATCTTTCCTAACAAATCCAGGGTACCCTATT